TACCCTCCGCACCAACCAGGACACTAAAGTCTATGTCGTTAAGTGGATGGTTGCTAGGGAGAAAGTCAGCATGCCATGCCCTCCCACCCCCGGGTTCTTTAATTTTAACGAACTCGATGCCGAAATAAATCCTTACCCCAAACATGAGTGAGGTCTTTAGTAGTATTGACTGGAGCGATCTGATGCCTAAGAGAAGGAAAAGAATGTGAACCATTTGGCATTTTGTCTTTATGTTTATTATTTTATTGGCTTATAAAAGGAATCACATTAAAAGAAACGATATGTAATATGCCAAATTGCAAATAGTAAATATCATAAATATGAAAAATCATGATCGTCACATGTTTCGATATACAAACAAATTTATGCTGACACAAGTTTATGTTACGCTACATGTACATGTACATGATGGCCATGTTCATTAATGCTACAAATTGCAACAATTATAAAGATATTATCAAAGTCCATGTTCTCTAATTCTCAATCTCGATGAAGTGGATCGAAGGGGAAAAGATGTCAGGTATAATCAATAATATTTAAAATATTTGTAGTAAATGCCAGCTGAGTAAGAGAGGAGAAAAAGAGAGAGAGAGAGAGAGGGAGGAACAGGTTCTTACTGATATGATCAAGAGAGCCAGCACAAAACTGTCCATAAAACTTCTTAGCCCCTAGCCTCTTCAAGTCGTCAATAGTGAATGGCCACAAATGCAAAACATTGTTGCGAGAGAAATAAGGTCGCTTCTCCACAACGACAATGTCACAGCCTAGCAATGCAGCCTCAATAGCAAACCTCATCCCAACGGGACCACACCCAACAACGCATACCGAGGTACCTTGACACGCCTTTTGGTTCTTATACTCGTTAAGTTGAACCTACGAGAGAGAGGGAGAGAGAGGAGGAGAGAGAGTTAGGGAAATTTGCTTGGGAAGCAACAATAGAGACATCATGTGAATGCTAAATGAAAACATTTTTATAACACGGAGCTAAAATAAACTGAATGCCACCCAAATGTTGTCATTACACATTACAAAATCTTATGTACATTATTTATAAACAGACACACAATGTTGCTTTGTTCAGTTAATATTATTTACTTTCTTGTCCAGAAGCTCCCAGAGGGTCTTTGCCTTCCAGTGCGTTAGTTTGCTCTTCAAAGAGTGATAAAGGGAGACTCCATACGCCTCCTTATCTATGCCCAGTTTGTCTTTGAGCAAAGAGAAAGAGCCAATTATCTGCGGTACGTCCCAGGCCTTCTCTGTGAAGTATGTGAATATTTCTGCTGGATCAACTAGCGAGCGGTAACCTTCAGAGCTGTCTCTGTCCCCTGCTGTAACTGGAGCTGATGTAGCCATTGCAAAAGAGAGGGAGAGAAAGGAGAGACAATGT